GCAGCAGTAGCAGCAACATCAGCCACAGGGGCAACAGATGCAGGAACAGAAGCGATAGAACGCCATTGTGACAGAGACCCACATAAAGAATTTTGCTGCACTCTTCCACAGACACACACGGGCGCTGCTGTATTTGGTGCGCGTTGTCTTGATAAGCCTGCCGCTGCAGCTGCAGCTGCTGCTGCAGCTGCCGCTCGTACTGCAGCAACTGAAGCACTGCTTCCTCCACGTCCGAATGAGGGATACAAAAAAACAGCCTGGCAAGCAGCAACAGCAGCAGCAGCAACCGCTTGAGACAAGGCCGCAGCAGTGGGGGCTGCCACATACACGAAAGTGCCCCCTGCCGCCGCCGCTGCAGCAGCAGCAGCACTGTGGAGCACTGAAAGGCTTCAAAATGCATCGGTACAATATGGACCAACCAGCAGCCACCACGCGCAGCAAGGCAGCACTAGAGAAACAATCAGGAAAAGCAACAACAGCTGCAGCAGTGGCTGCAGCAGCAGCAATGGGAACAGCAGAAGCTGCAGCAGCTCACTCTAGCAGCGGCCGCAGGAGCTGCGGCAGCGCGAACTCAATTGTGCCACAAAAAGGAGGAAACCCAGCAGCAGCCAGCAGGTTGTGCAGTGAAGTGACTGCAGCAAGTAAGAGCTCCCCCTCAGCAGCAACAAGCTGTTGCTCCTCGATAGACAGCAAACCCAGCAGACGCTGCAGCAGCTGCTGATTTATCCCCTGCTCCTCCTGCTGCTCCTGCTGCTGTTGCTGAAACTTCCGCTGCTGCTGTTGCTGCTCACGTTGCTGCTGCTGCTGCTCTCCTTTTTGCTGCCCCTGCTGTTGCTCGTGCTCTAGCTGCCTGGGTGTGTGGGGAGAACTGATCGAGGGGCTCCTGGAGCTGCTGCTGCCTGTGGCAAGCCCAAGTTGGGCGCCGTATGGAAGCAGCAAATGCTGCAGAACGAGTGGGTGTTGTCTTTGTTGCTGCTGCTGCTTCAGAGGGTACAGAATCTGAAAGCAGCCAGCGAGCTGCGGTAGAACCTGACCGAATGGGCCGCGAACGCTCTCGCTCTGTTGCTGCTGCAACCCAAAACACACAGCATCTCCCGCAGCAACGGCCGCTCCAACAGGGGCAATTGGTACATAGACTTTGCAAGTTAGCGGCAGAAGCAGCAGAAGTTGCGGCGGCAGCAGCATCAGGAATACGGGAAATGCATCAGACGCAGCAATACATTTCTACAGCAGCAGCTGCCGCTGGAAGCAGCAAGTTGCCGCCTCGTGCCTCACCCCCGATGCACAAGCTGGCCCAACACAAAAGCGCTTGAAGAT